GCACTCGGGCCCGAACGCGGCTCGGGCGGGCCGGCCGTGGGCCGGGCGGGCCGCGACGGCGCGGTGAAGTGGGCGCGGGCGGCGGCGAATCAGTGGATGCCACATGGCGGTGGACGACGGAGCGGACATGTCCGTCAGCGGGATATGTGTCCGGCGCGCGAGGAAAGGGAGGGGGCTAGGGTTAGACCGCGAAATTTCGGAGGGGATCACTTATTTATTGGTAGAGGGAGCTAGGAGAGTCCAAATGAGATGCGGTTTTCGGCCACGTGATCGTGATCGAACGCTCTAGATGATAAAGAGGGTTTAGATGGGTTTTGGGCTAAATTGAAAGGGTGTTGGGCTGCAACACACACGAGGCCTTTTCGGTCCCTCGGTTAACCGTTGGAGTATCAAACGAAGTCCAAATGATACGAAATTTGACAGGCGGTCTACCGGTAATAAACCAAGGCCGCATGGCAAGTCTCGGTCCAACCCGGAAATGTTTAACCCCCACACATGAAAGAAAGGTAGAAACGACCACCGGAAGAGAACGAAGTGCCGGAATGCAAAACGGACAAGAAGAAAAATGCTCGGATGCATGAGACGAACACGTATGTAAATGAAATGCACATAATGACATGATATGCAATGCATGACACGCAAGCAATGACAACGCAACAACAGCGAATAACTGGACGACACCTGGCACATCGGTCTCAGGGCGTTACATATATGTTCTCAAAAATATTTCCTAGTGATAATGCTTTTGCACATCAATACTTATTCAGAGTCTTTCATGCAAGGTTTCCTATCATTAAGGGCTACATTGTGGAGAACAATTGAAAAGCAAATCTTATATTCTGAAAAAAAGATGTCCGGACGAACACTGAAGTTGCTGCTGCCACACCTCTTTACGTAGCTGCCGACTGCTACTGCCTACTGTTACATCTTCCTTACTACAGGCAACTATTGTTGCTTTATTTAGTTTAACTGTCCTAATGGGATGACATATTGGTTTAAATTCTACTCCCTCCGTCCCAAAATTCTTGTCTTATATCCGTATTTAAATAAATCTAATGCTAAAGCGTGACTTGATACATCCGTATTTAAATAAATCTAAGATAAGAATTTTGTGACAGAGGAATATATGGATACCCACAAATAAATCCATTATTTAATGAGATTATAGGATGAACTTATCATATAGAGATTGGCTTTTCCAATATGTGTTGCACTTAGTGACAAACGAGCCGCGAGCAAGCATGGATTACAACTCTGGGTTGGTCCAGAACTTCCAATGTGCGCAACACTGCAGTTGGAAGACTAAGTCGACTGAGACTTAGCAAGACCGAAAGAAAAAAGGCAACACAAACTTACCAACTCTACACTACTAAAGTCTACTCAAAATTAATGCCGTTGGAATCGAATTCAAAATGTAGTGTTATGTAGTAGGAACTGCCATTATTAAATATTCCCTCCGTTTTAAAATAAGTGTCTTAACTTTGTATTAACTTTAATACAAAGTTGTACTAAGGTTGAGACACTTATTTTGGGACGGACGAATATATGGTTATGCTTCAATATATCAATGTCTTCTTTCTTTTTAGCATGTTTCTTTATCACCAACTATCTGCATGGCCCAAATCCACTTAAAATTGGACACGGAGAACGCGACTACAGCCTGGCGCGGCGGAGCGCACAGTTCCGTCTAGTACTCCCTCCGTCCGAAAATATTTGTCGTAGAAATGGATACAAGTGGATGTATCTAGAACTAAAATATATTTAGATACATTCATTCCTCGGACAAGTATTTCCGGACTAAGGAAGTACTTGATTAACTAGTTGGGAAAGTCGTCGTGCCCGTGAAGCAGCCATGTGTTACAAAGAAGAAACAGAGAATGAGAGGAAGAAATCGGTAGAGTGGTAACTTTTGTTTCTAGTCTTCGTGTAAATTTTTTAATCAGTATAAAGATGAGTATATCAGACATGGCTGGCACGTGTTTGCCATAGGAGAAATGGTCATCTACTCCTCCGTTTCTAAATATATGTCTTTTTAGATATTTTAATATAAACTATATATGAAGCAAAATGAGTAAATATACATTCTAAAATATTTTTTATATATATAAATATACTTTAAAATATGTCTATATATATCTATTTTTAGTCCATATTAAAATCTTTACAAAGATTTATATTTAGGAACGGAGGGAGTATGTCACAATAGTGCACTGCCCAAGCTATTACACATTAGTTGATTTTTGCCCAAAAGGGAAAGGCACAACGCTTTGCTGGACCTATATAGAAATAAATATAGGATTGTTTTGCTGACACATATAACATTGTTCACAATAGAGAACCGAAACCCTGCTGATCAAGTTCAGAACCTGAATCCTTCTGTGCAAGGGCAAGAACTGATGAACTACTGGACCATTTTAACCAGAGGTAGCTCAAAATGGAGCAGACTTTACTGAAGCTTTCGAAGTCTGGACTCCTTAACCGAAGCCGTGCTGATCAAAAGTCACAACCTGAATCCTCATGTGCAACAGCGATGAACTACTGGACCATTCTAACCAGAAGTAGCTCAAAATGCCGGATGGGTTAAAATCCAGATGTTGGCCAACCCATACAGACCTCCGCTACACCTCAGAGAAAGAAGAGAAAAACAGAACACATCCCAGGTTCACCAATCCTGATGATCAAGAACAACCAGATCATCTTGATCCAAAATCCGTGTACAACATCAGCAATAATCGCACATTGACGTTGTCCTTCTCGGCTCGGATTATGCCCTTGTGCTAGAGAACTTTGTACTCTGCCTCAATCCTGGCATTGTTCCAATGTTTGCAACGCATCTAAAAAAATTGTTCAAAAAGTTGGTTCCATATGGTATG